ATAAAACATATTCCACCTAATTGCAATCTTTGTGGTCAATTTTTTGTGAATTAATTTTTGAAAGGAAATTAAAAAAAATATTCCTTCAATGGTGTTGTTGCACATGGAATGGATATAACTGACAATTTAATTATCATGTCGAAATCATAAATGAGATTTAAATGAATAAATTGAAATATACTTATTTGTTATCTATTATTTTGACCTTTACTGCAAATAAATTAACTAACGGCATTGGGACTTGAAAGTGAAATATATAATGAAAATAAGGTTTAATTATGCCCTACAACACCACCACCATTCGTCCGACAACTGTTAAAATTATTCCAGTGACAGCTCATTATATTCTTTACAAACGTACAAAAGCATTTTGGTAAGAATTTTCCAGAAAAAAAATTATTCGTGGTGGAATTCAAGCGAGATAGTGTGATTTCTTTATATTTGGCTGGAAAACCACAAGTGGCTATCGTTAGATCACTCCAGCATATAAATGTGAATAAATCATTTGTGTCTCGTACCATCGCTCGTTACCGTGATACTGGTAGCGCAGCCTGAGAGTCAAGGAAGTGGACGGAAGAAAACAGCAACATCAGCCAAAATGGTTCGAAAAGTAACAATTAGAGAAAGTCCTAAAGACGGGCGGGCCGACTTTATGTTACTCTCCACCACTTCGCTAATTTAGTAGAGCTCCACATAACAATTCAAAGTTTTTATGGGAGAATTCAATCATACACGCTTTTTTTCCTGAACCGAAAATTTGGCAAAGATATTTCTTAGCTGTATCTGATATATTTTTCCTGAATATCGTTGTTACGGAGTGCATATTACGGCTGTGGATAACAAATACAACAACTCGGATGAACAATATATATAGGAGCTATAGCTGTATCTGAACCGATCTTCACCATATTTGTCATAGTAGCTTCTAGACTCAATTCAGTCAGACGTTTGGTGCACAATAAAATGTAAATCGGACGAAGTTATATATGCGAGCTATATCCAAATCTGAACCAATCTCGATAAAATTTAGCAAATGTATTTCTGAGCTGTATTTGATATATTTCCACAAATATTGTTGTTACAGAGTGCATATTACGGTTGCGGAGGACAAAAATAACAAATCGGATGAAAAATATATATGGGAGCTATAGCTTTATCTGAACCGATTTCGATCAAATTTGGCATACTTATTTTCAGGCCTAATTTGGTTGTATGTGTAAAATTTCATCCCATTTGGGCAAATATTACATGTTTGGTGCATAATAAAAGGAAAATCTGACGAAGATATATATGTAAGCTATATCTAAATTTTTACCGATTATCTCAAATTTCAATAGGGTTCGTCCTTGGACCAAACAAATTTTGTTTGGAAAATCTCATCTCAATCGGATAATAAATGCGACCAGCATTTTGTTCACAAGAATACATGGACAGACGGACGGACACACGGATTGACATCCATAAATCAACTCAGAAAGTGATTCTATGGTGATCCTCAAAAGTAAAAGTATGGGTCTATCTCGCTTCCTTCTCCATGTTACAAACAAATGCACAAAGATATAATACCCTTACCACTATGTGGTGAAGGGTGGTGAACATATCGCAATATTCCATTCGGCAAATATTAAAAAATAAGATCGGGGTAAAGCCATTGAAATTCCAAAAAGTGCAAGAACTTACACCGCAACAGAAAGGAAATAGAGCCAAAAGGCTTGTTTCGCTTGGCCACAAATGGTGAACTGCCGAAATTGGTTTTCTCCGTCTCCGATGAGAAAACATTCTTTGTCCAGCAGTTTGTAAACAAACAAAATGATCGTGTTTACTTTCCAAAGAGGTCTAGCTGAAAATGTGCACCTTCGGTTGGCCACCAGAACTCAAACGCCGGCCATGGTTATGGTTTGGGCCGCCATAACAGCCGATGGTCGCTCTCCGCTCGTATTAATCGACAGTGGCATAAGAATAAATGCCGAATATTATCGCGAAAATATTCTGGAGGGTGTATTAAAGCCTTGAGCATGCAAAAATTTTGGCCGCAGACCTTGGCCATCCAACAGGACTCAGCACCATCGCACTCAGTGCGTGCCCACCAAGAATGGTTACAAAATATGGTTCCTCACTTCATTTCTAGCGCACAATGGCCACCAAAATATCCGGATACCAATTCGTTGGACTATTGTGTCTGGAGTATTTTGGAAAGATAGGTTGGCACTAAAAAATACCAAAGTGTCGTTCATCTCAAGCAAGCACTTCGCCGGGAATGGGCCGAAATACCGCAGAGCAACATTCCTTGGGCGAAAATAACTTTTTGGGTAAAGAATTTATTTTTAACTTTTTTCCCATGGAGCGTATGAGTTTTGAAGTGAAGTATACGGCAAAAAGACCTTTTATCATATTAAAAATAATTCCAACAATCAAAAATTTTGCTTCATGGAAATATATCCTGCCTTAAATGTATTTAATACACATCACTCTCTCTTACTCTCTGAAAAGAAAAATATAACATACTTATTACAAAAACTTAGTTAAATATCCTATTTATTACAGTTCCATATGGCGTATAAATGCGGACATAAACAATACGCCATGAACTCCACTAAAGAGAACTGAGGTCATTCTCGATTCGGCCAAGCCAAAAATTAAAAAAAATGCAATTTTGCATTTAAAGTTCGTAGTGGATACTAATGCCTTTGACAGAAAATTGTCAGTGCAGGTTCACGTTTTATAAACCCCATGGTACCTCCCTATATTCGTTATTTTGATTATTTTAGCTACATTATAAACGGATTTTTTTTTCAATTTTCGCATTTGAATATTGTAAAAGCTTATGACAAAAGTTGCCTATGCAGGTTCACGTCGTCGGTATTTTTAAGAATTTAACAGAATTTTTAACGGTTTTTTTTTTTTTTTTTTTTTTTGAAAATTGCCAAATTAGTTCCAAATGGCGGAGGATATTCAAAGTTCGGCCCGGCCGAACTCACAGTATTTTTACTTGTTCTAATCCACTTCGATGCAAATATTTTCTTGAATGTAATGGAAATACAGGGTGAAATAAAAAATTGGAACAAAGTCAAAAGCCATATTTTTTACATATTTTTTAATTTTATATCGGAAATAACATCAAATTTTAGAAAAAGTTTACATTAGTTCGAATTGGTCAACCTTGGCACGAATTATGGCCTTCAAACGGCCAATGAAACCGTCACATGCTGCCCGAATGTTGCTCTGCGATATTTTGGCCCATTTCCGGCGAAGCGCTTGCTTGAGGTGATCGACACTTTGGTATTTTTTAGTTCCAACCTTGCTTTCCAAAATACTCCAGACACAATAGTCCAAGGGATTGGTATCCGGAGATTTTGGTGGCCATTTTGGTGTGCTGGAAATGAAGCAAGGAACCTCATTTTATAACCATTCTTGGGTAGCGCATCCTGAGTGCTATAGTGCTGAGTCCTGTTGGAATGTCCAAGGTCTGCGGCCAAGTCTTTAATACATCCTCCAGAATATTTTCGCGATAATATTCGGCATTTATTCTGATGCCACCGTCGATTAATACGAGCGGAGAGCGATCATCGGCTGTTATAGCGGCCCACACCATCACCATGGCCGGCGCTTGAGTTCTGGTGGCCAACCGAATGTGCACATTTTCAGCTGACCTCTTTGGCAAGTAAACATTATCATTTTGTTTGTTTACAAACTGCTGGACAACGAATGTTTTCTTATCGGAGACGTAGAAAACCAAATTTGAAAGTTCACCACTTTCTACCAAACGAAGCAACTCTTTAGCTCTTTTAAGTCTATTTTCTTCCTTTTGCGGTGTAAGTTCTTGCACTTTTTGGAATTTCAATGGCTTTACCCCGAGCTCACGTTTCAATATTTGTCGAATGGAGTATTGCAATATGTCCGGCTCACGAGCCATTTTTCGGCCACTGCGACACGCGGGTTTCGATTAAGCCGCTTCTTGGTTCCAAACCGTTTCTGCTGATGTTGCTGTTTTTACCATTTCTTGACGTCGACCTTCGCTGCCAGTATCACGGTAACGAGCTATGGTACGAGACACAAATAATTTATTCACATTTAAATGCTGGAGTGCTCTAACGCCTACCAGGTAACTTGTGGGTTTCCATAACGAATAACTTTTTCTCTGGAAAATTCTCACCAAAATGCTTTTGTACGCTTCTCAACAATATAATGAGCTGTCACTGGAATAATTTTAACTGCTGTCGGACGAGTGGCTTAGAAATGACAGCAGTCTGAAGATGGTTGCATTTTTTTATATCACACTGTATAGTACTTATATAGTGCTTCTTAAAGAAGATTAGTAGGCGTCCAAAAATGTTCGGTGAGACATGATTACTGGATTTTCTGAATCTTCTTCATATGGAAGATCCTATAAAATACGAATTCATCCTTTTATAGGATATTCATACGTTTATCTATAGGAGATCTGTACTTTTTCTTATTTAAGGTCTTGTTATAGAGCAGTATAAAATATGAATGGATCTACTAAGAGAGACCTAAAGATTACCTGGTAGGCTAACAACAGGGTTTCTCATAGAAAATATAAAAATATATAGAATAGTAATAAATCTACAAATAAGGCCTATTATAGCAAACAAAAAATGTATATAGATATAATTATAAAAGATCTTCTTATAGAAGGGGAATAGGTCTTCCAAAAGTTCATCGATAAGTTTTCTTATATATTTCGATATATTGTCCTTACCTATTTTATGGTATTATATAAAAAAACTTATTTTTATTTTCATATCTATATTTTTCAAAAACTTTTACGTCGTCTTTTGGAGAACCAATAGGACTTCACTTTATTTCAATTATTTCTATTCGACACATATTTCTATTCGAAACGAATGTAATATTTGGCAACCTGATTTTAAAATTAAATCAATACAGTCCCCAAGAAGAAGCCATACCTTATTTCTTAAATATTGCATACACATTCAATAATATTTAATTTCTTTGTTGTTGTTGTTTATTCCTTTCAGAGCTTTTGTGAAATCATAACGTTCAAATTGTTTACTAACTTCTCGGAAGTATTTCAACTGCTGCTATCAATAGTCGTCATATCAAACATTGAAGACCATTCAAATTGAGTTGCCTGCACGTCATTTGGCTCGCCGTTCTTTTGTTCCTCCAATTCAAAACAAACAAAAAAACAACTTCAAAGAAAAAACGAAAAACAAAAAATATCAAAAGTTTCAATAGCTGAACAAATGATAAGTTACCTGCATTTACGATTGCCATGGATACAAATTAGAAATTTCCGTATCTGCCCCAGCCGAAGTCGCAGAAAGAGACGGGAGGAAAATGATATCACAGGAGACGAGTGTCGCCACCAGTAGCCACAGACGCAGCAGCAGCAGCATCAATAATGGCAGCTATACTCTCAGATCTACAAAAAATAAAAACAAAGCAAAATTTTCAAGTATCAGAAGACATCGAAGTCGAAAGAAAATTCGAAGAACATTTCAATGCACTCACCCGCCATGTCCCCCTCAAATGCGGCGAGCTGGGCCATCCACTGCAGCTCATTTGTCGTGCATCCCATCAAAGGCAAGTGATGGCAAAATTATACAAATAACTTCGATAGTTATGCGACATCTGAAGACGGTGATATGTTACCTGAGCGAATGGCGCTGGTCCACAGTTGCCATGGGAATTATGCAGTCCATAACCATGGTGGTCGGTGTGTACACGACCATCAACTCCACAACTATTGCCGAGGCTAATGCAACGGAGTTGGCTGAGGAATATGACAGTTCGAATTTGATTGTATGCCTGCCGAACAACTCAACTGATTGCATTAAATATGTCAATTCGACGAATAATGGCCTTATTGCATTGAATGAAAGGTGAGTTATGTACTTTTCGGTAATTTCTCGAGTACAAATGAATGAGGAACATCTTTAAATTTAGTTTCTGGCTGGATTGGCTTAAAATGAAAAAAGTTTTTTCAATGACTTTTCTAAAGCGGGATGATGATGAAGGCATCACAATCATCTATTGAAGACCTCGTGGTCATCTATCGAAAAACCAAGGTCTTCAAGAAGACCTTGATGTCTTCAGAACAAGGCTTTGAGGTCTTCACTGGAAGACCTTGAAGTTTTCCACAGACGACTAGGTCTTCACTAGATTACCTGGAGTTCTTCACTGGAAGACCTTGAAGTTTTTCACAGAAGACCTTAAGGTCTTCACTGGACAACTAGGTCTTCACTAGAATACCTGGAGTTCTTCACTATAAAACCTTGAGGTCTTCAATAGAAGACCTTGAGGTCTTCAATAGAAGACCTTGAGGTCTTCAATAGGAGACCTTGAGGTCTTCAATAGGAGACCTTGAGGTCTTCAATAGAAGACCTAGAGGTCTACACTAGAAGACCTGGAGGTCTACACTAGAAGACCTGGAGGTCTTCGCTAGAAGACCTGGAAGTCTTCGCTAGAAGACCTGGAAGTCTTCGCTAGAAGAAGGTCTTCTATTGTTAAGACCTTATGGCCGTTTTGTGAAGACCTCATAGTCTTCTATTGGGAAGACCTCATGGTCTTCTATTGTGAAGACTTCTAGCTCTTCTAAGTCTTCTAGTGAAGACCTCAAGGTCTTCTTGTAAAGACTTCAAAGTCTTCTAGGTAAGACCTCTCAAAGTCTTTTACCTCTCCAGATCTTCTATCGCGAAAACCTCAAGGTCTTCTATTGTGTAGACTTCAAGCTTTTCTAATGAAGACTTTAAGGTCTTCTGGTGAAGACCTCAAGCTCTTCTGGTGAAGACCTCAAGCTCTTCTGGTGAAGACCTCAAGCTCTTCTAGTGAAGACATCAAGCTCTTCTAGTGAAGACATCAAGCTCTTCTAGCGAAGACCTCAAGCTCTTCTAGTGAAGACCTCAAGCTCTTCTGGTGAAGACCTCAAGGACCTCAAGCTCTTCTGGTGAAGACCTCAAGCTCAAAGACATGGAGGTCTTCACTAGAAGACCTGGTGGTCTTCACTGGAAGACCTGGAGGTCTTCACTGGAAGACCTGGAGACCTGGTGAAGACCTCAATGACCTCAAGCTCTTCTGGTGAAGACCTCAAGCTCTTCTGGTGAAGACCTCAAGCTCAAAGACATGGAGGTCTTCACTAGAAGACCTGGAGGTCTTCACTGGAAGACCTGGAGGTCTTCACTGGAAGACCTGGAGGTCTTCACTAGAAGAAGGTCTTCTATTGTTAAGACCTTATGGCCGTTTTGTGAAGACCTCATAGTCTTCTATTGGGAAGACCTCATGGTCTTCTATTGTGAAGACTTCTAGCTCTTCTAAGTCTTCTAGTGAAGACCTCAAGTTCTTCTAGTGAAGACCTCAAGGTCTTCTTGTAAAAACTTCAAAGTCTTCTAGGTAAGACCTCTCAAAGTCTTTTACTGAATACCTCTCCAGATCTTCTATTGCGAAAACCTCAAGGTCTTCTATTGTGTAGACTTCAAGCTTTTCTAATGAAGACTTTAAGGTCTTCTGGTGAAGACCTCAAGCTCTTCTGGTGAAGACCTCAAGCTCTTCTGGTGAAGACCTCAAGCTCTTCTGGTGAAGACCTCAAGCTCTTCTGGTGAAGACCTCAAGCTCTTCGGGTGAAGACCTCAAGCTCTTATGGTGAAGACCTCAAGCTCTTCTGGTGAAGACCTCAAGCTCTTCTGGTGAAGACCTCAAGCTCTTCTGGTGAAGACCTCAAGCTCTTCTGGTGAAGACCTCAAGCTCTTCTGGTGAAGACCTCAAGCTCTTCTGGTGAAGACCTCAAGCTCTTCTGATGAATACCTCAAGCTCTTCTGGTGAAGACCTCAAGCTTTTCTGGTGAAGACCTCAAGCTCTTCTGGTGAAGACCTCAAGCTCTTCTGGTGAAGACCTCAAGCTAATCTGGTGAAGACCTTAAGCTCTTCTGGTGAAGACCTCAAGCTAATCTGGTGAAGACCTCAAGCTCTTCTGGTGAAGACCTCAAGCTCTTCTGGTGAAGACCTCAAGCTCTTCTGGTGAAGACCTCAAGCTCTTCTAGTGAAGACCTCAAGCTCTTCTGGTGAAGACCTCAAGCTCTTCTGGTGAAGACCTCAAGCTCTTCTGGTGAAGACCTCAAGCTCTTCTGGTGAAGACCTCAAGCTCTTTTGGTGAAGACCTCAAGTTCTTCTGATGTAGACCTCAAGTTCTTCTGTTGAAGACATCAAGCTCTTCTGATGAACACTTCAACGTCTTTCATTGAAGACCTAAAGGACTTCTTTTAAAGTATTTAAATGCTAATAGTATTCTACCCTACTTCCATTTTTTCTTTCAGTATCTATCCGGCTCTAAAAGGTTTCCATAACAATTACGATTATCGTCTAATTGCCCGCATTAATCCATTTTGGTTGAAATTTGATCCGCCCACTGAAACCTATTACCGGACAATGGCAATTCTTTATATGGTTATATTTGCGATTGGCACCTTTGGTAATGGTCTGGTCATATTTATGTTTTTCAGGTGAGTTGATTGATGATACACACACACACACATGCATGGGCACATGTCTTTAGTTGATGCGATAATTGATTGATGTATTGGTATTTCGTATTTGCAGATGTAAATCCTTGAGGACATCACCATATATGCTTGTCCTGAATTTGGCCATTAGTGATTTTATAATTGTCTTTAAATGTCCACTGGCAGCCCTCAATAATTATATGAATGGTCCAGTATTGGGTGATTGGGGTGAGTTGAGAAGTTAAAATTTGTTGTTGGAGGAAAGAGGGGTTGAATTTACATGTAAAAATAAATACCTCCCAATAACTTCAAGATTCCATGGCAATTGCTAGTGCAAAACGAGCGTGTGTTCGCTCGAACACTTTTACCCAAAGGCCTTCCATTCCCATGGTGGGGGTATAAAATCTCCATCCTCCTTGAATTGAATCTTTTTTTGTTGATATTTATTTAACTGGTATGTTTCCCTTGTTTTCAGGTTGTCGAATTTATGGATTTGTTGGTGGCCTCAGTGGAACCGCCTCAATTGGCATGCTGACCATTATTGCCCTGGATCGTTACAGTGTCGTCGTGAATCCACTCAACCCGAATCGCAGCAATTACATTACTCAATACTATACATTTTTGATAATTTTCGTGTGGATATATGCCCTGACATTTTCATCCATGCCCATGTTGGATATCGGCATGTCCCGCTATGTGCCGGAGGGTTATTTCACCACCTGTTCCTTTGACTATTTGGATACATCGACAAAGGCCCGCGTCTTTATGTTTGTCTTTTTCGTGTGTGCCTGGCTGGTGCCGTTGTCGGTGATTTGTTACTGCTATTTTCATATCCTGAAAGTGGTGTTTACAGCCCGCGATCTGCCCAGCAACAAGAATAAGCAAAATATTGAAATGCGTTTGGCGGTTGTTGTCCTTCTCGTCATTATGTTGTGGTTCATTGCTTGGACGCCATATTCAATTGTCGCCATTTGTGGCATTTTCGAACAGGAGCAATATCTGACACCGACTCGAGCTGGAATACCGGCAATTTTTTGCAAGACAGCATCGTGTCTGAATCCATTCTTATACACCATATCCCATAAACGTTTTCGCCAGGAGTTGCTGAAACTGTTCTGCAAACGTAAGCGCAGCTTGCGTTACTCTCTGACGCGTTCCTCCTATATGACCAAGTCATCGAGGAGGAATCACAATTTGGTTACAACCGCGGGCACCAGTTTTCGTGGTGGTGGTGGTGGTAGTTTATATCAGCAAAAACCAACGACGACATTCAAGAGAAACATAAGATCAGCTTCAGCCTTTGGAGATGGTCTGATGCGTTCGGACGAACGCAATAATGCTAAATATGTAAGACCCCTCAACCGTTGTTCCATGGTGGCGGAGCGTAGTATTTCACGAACCAGTGACTATAGTACATCGTTGGCAAATTCCATTGTGGCTGGACGGGAGGGAAGCGGAGCATTTGTCATTGACAAGAAGCCATCTGGAGGATCGGAGGAAGATGTTATTTTCATTGTAAGTGGTGGTCGTTCCTCGGTTCAGGAATCACAGGCCACCCAGGTATTCGTCATCGGCACCGATAGCGGCGATGTAAATTTGTCACAACGCATAGTTAACTCACCACCGACAGCTTTGGAGACTAGTTTTTAGGTCATAAATTGCAAGAAATGTGAATTAATTTAGTAACGAAATATTGAGAATGCACTGTAAAAGAAGTCCTGCAGGTCTTCACCAGGAGTTATGCAGGTCTCCTCTATAAGACCTTGATGTCTTCACTAGAAGACCTTGTTGTCTTCACTAGAAGTCCTTGATGTATTCACTAGATGTCCCTAATGTCTTCACTACGCGAGCTTGGGTTCTTCACTACAAGAGCTTGAGACCTTGTGAAGACCACAAGAAAGGTCTTCTAGTGAAGACCTCATGGACATGAACTTCTTGAAGTCCAAAAGGTACCATGAGGTCTATTTGTCAAGACCGTTTAGAAAATCTCATGGCCTTTTAGAGAAGACCGCAATCTATTTTACCGAAGATTAGGGTCTGAATTAATTTAGTATCGTAAAATTGAAAAGAAGTCCTGCAGGTCTTCACCAGAAGTCATGCAAGTCTTCTCTGTAAGACCTTGTTGTCTTCACTAGAAATCCTTGATGTCTTCACTAGAAGTCCTTGATGTCTTCACTGCAAGACCTTGGGGTCTTCACTACAAAAGCTTGAGGTCTTCACTATAAGACCTTAGGGTCTTCACAAAAAGACTTGTGAAGACCACATGAAGATTTGGAGGTCTTCACTATGTCTTCGTTAGAAGACCTCATGGACTTCTGCTGAAGAACTCATGCTTACGGACTTCTTGTGAAGTCCAAAAAGTCTGCTACCGGAGACAACCATGAGATCTTATTGTCAAAACCGTTTTGAGAATCTCATGGCCTTTTAGAGAAGACCGCAAACTTTTTTAGTGAAGATTAGGGTCTGTATTAATTTAGTATCGAAAAATTAAAAATGCACTCTAAAAGTATTATATTTTGTAAATTGTCGATTTTATACAACCGGAGATAGGGAGGTAAACAACTATTGCATTAAAAAAAAAAACAAACAAGGATATCGCACATTTAGGATAGGGAACCCACAAAAAGCTTTGGGAAAATGAAAGTTCAAATGAGAATTTATTAGGAATCAAAATTACAAAAAGACATAAATGTATTTTAAATTTACTGAAAATATATCAAAAATATGATTATTGCTATTTTAAATACCAAATATAGAAATAAGTAAAAATATCCCACACTCTAGGAACTTATATAGGAAAATTATATGTTATATATTATTAAGTAGAGAATTTAAAAAAACGCTGTATTATTGATTGTAAGATATTATTTTGCCTGCTTCTTTAGATTAAAATAAGCAAAAAAGTTGTAAGTTCGGTCAGGCCGATCTTTGAATACCCTCCACCATTTGGAACGAATTTAGCAATTTAAGAAAAAAATGAAATCCGTCAAAAATTCACTTAAAATCTTAGAAATACCGAATGTAGCCGTTATATAAGGGTCTATACAACGACGTGGAACCGCATAGGCAACTCTTGTCATAAGCCATTACAATACTCAAATGCGAAAAAAGCGGTGAATAATGTAGCTAAAATCGTCAAAATACTGAATATCGGAAGGTACCGTTATATGGGGACTATACGAAGACGTGGAACTGCACAGACAATTTTCCGTCATAGGCTGTAGCATCCATTACTAACTTCAAATACCAAATTTGAAACTACTACGGTGAATAAAATCGCTAAGATCGTAAAATATTGAATATCGGGAGGTACCGTTATATGGGGGCTATACGAAGAGGTGGACCTGCACAGCCTGTCTTAGGCTGTAGTATCTATTACGAACTTCAAATACCAAATTTGAAACAATTCCGGTGAATAATGCCTCTAAAATTATCAAAATTCCGAATATCGGGAGGTACCGCTATGTGGGGGCTATACCAAAACGTGGACCTACATACCAAAAGTCCATAACAAAGACATAACATACGGACGGACGAACATCGCTAAATCGACATATAATTTAATGCTGATCAAAAAAAAATATATATATACATACATATATATATATATATATATATATATATATATATATATATATATATATATATATATATATATATATATATATATATATATATATATATATATATATATATATATATATATATATTACCCTCCATACTACGGTGGGGGTTATAAAGACAAGTAAACAAAGGCTATAGCCGTGCGGGCCGACCATGTGAAACCGTACAATACTACACTAAATTGGAAGCACACTTATGTCCAAATCTATTGCGGAAGATTTCGAAATAATTTCTACAGCCCTTCACATATGTTACCCTTAGTTTCTGACCGGGGCCAATTGTTCCATAGTTACGTCCACGTGGTGTTCAAAACAATTTCACAAGATTAGTGGTCAATTTTACAGCTAAATATATAATCCAATGATGATTCAAAAACTTCGACTTCTTCCCTGTCCTTAACTCTCTTCTCATGTGAAATTCCGTGTCGGTTGGGTTTCAATGGAACCCCTAAATGTAAATCTCCATTACAATAGGCTTTAATTCTGACCCCAACCCTGGCCCCATGTAAAATTTCTTGAAGATCGGACGATAAATGCGACCAGTATATAATAGCCTCAACATATAGTGTTGCGAGGTGTAGAAAAGAAGATCCATATATAGGTTCCAAGTTTTAAATATATTGGTTACTACCTTTACTTTATATGGGATATGGTGACAATTTTTGAGAAAATGCTCAAATATACATGAAGTACCTGATACAGTCGATCGAAGTATTCCATTTTTACACTTCATCTAATACAGATAAAAATATTGGAATGGAAAAAGTTACAAGAAAATCGAACATTTATATCCAATTTTATACGGAATCATAAATTCCAAATTCAGCCCAGGTTTATTGTTGCAAGAAATATGTAGATATAGTCAGCCTTTGTGGGTGAGGTACCAGAAGGGTTGACAGATATATATCATCTTCATAACAGAAGTTGTGTTTGAAAAAAAGGCGTGTGTCTGAAATTTAAAGAGAGATGGATGCTTATTTGGCTTTCTTTGAGCAATTTGTTTTTTTTTTCAAAATCTTAAATCCTATGTGGGGGAGGTACCAGAAGAAATTGTCCGATCTCTACCATCTTTATATCAGATCTTGTGTTGATGGAAATATTGTGATGTACCAAGTCTGGATGGAATCGGATGTTAATTTCGCGATTCATGGGCTCCATGCTTGTTCAAAATTTAGACCCTTTGTGGGGGAGGTATCAGAAGAAATGGACCGTTATATCCCATCTTCACATTACATCTAGTGTTAGTAAAAATAACAGGATGTGTGAAATATGAAGGGAACCGGAAGCTTATTTCGGATTTTATATCCGCTTTGGTTATTCAAAATTTTGAGCCTTTGTGGTGGAGTTACTAGATGGAATGGTCTGACCTCTACCATCTTTATAACAGATCTTGTGTTGATGGAAATATTGAGATGCACCAAGTCAGAATGGAATCGGATGTTAATTACGCTCTTTATGAGTTTCATGGATATTCAAAATTTTGACCCTTTGTGGAGGTGGTACCAGGATGAGTGGACCGATGTATACCATGTTCGCGCCAGATCGGACTCTTACGTCATATTTTAAAAGAGTTATAATTATTCAAAATGTTCACCCTTTGCGGGGGAGGTCTTGATGTGGTGGACTGATATTGTCCATTTTCGCACCTGACCTAGCACTGATGCAAATATTATGATTTGCAAAGTTGGAACAAAATCAGATTATTCTTTCTCTTTCTGTGCAGTAAACTATTTTTTGAAAATGTATAACTTTTGTGGGGGAGGTACCAGAAGGAGTGGACCGATTTTGCCCATCTCTAAACTAGATCTAAGTTTGACAATAATATTACGAAGAACCAACTTTGGACCAAATCGGATACTCCCTTCCATAGATAGACAAACAGACGGACGGACATCGCTAGATCGACTCTAAATGCCCAAATCGACTTTGTCCAAAGAGACCTAGGGTCTAAAACCGTTATTTCGATGAGGCATACCCTGATGTATACCCTCTCAATCCATATAGCTGAGGATATAATTATAGCGTGATTGATGCATCAAATATGTGAAATCGGACCAATTTTTATATAACCTTAACCGATTTCAACATAAATTTAACAAATTTATTTTTAGGCCAAATTCCGTCACTCATTCCGAAATTCATTGGAATCGGACATGTATATCATGTTTGGTGCATTAAATATGTGGAATCGGCCGAATATATATATATGGGAGCTATATCCAAATCTGAACATATTTCAATATAAGTGGCAAATTTATTTTTGTTCCAAATTCCATTACACATTTCAAATTTGAAGACTGTATCTCTATCAGATCAATAGATATATTCATACTAAATCTAAATTATTTGTAGGTACCTTCGGTTCTGCTGCTATCTTAAGTTTCAAGTGGAATTTCGAAAATTTAGATTTGCCGAGTTTAAAAGGGATCGGATGCTTATTTCGCGTTCTACGAGCTTCAAGGCAATTCAAAATTTTAAGCCTTCTCCGAGAAAGAATGGACCAAAAAATCCATCTTCTCGTCAGATCTTGTTTTAATAAAAATATTGAGATGTGTTTTTTTTTTTTTCAAGAGAATAGGTTGCTTATTTCGCATTTTTGAGGGTTTCTATATTCAAATTTTGGCCCCTTTGTGTGGGAGATACCAAAAGGAGTGAGCGCATATATATTTTATTTTTACACCAGATCCTGTTTTAGTGGAAATATTGAGATGTACCGAGTTTAAAAGTGATCGGATTCTCACTTCGTATTTTATGATCTTCATGGTTATTCAAAAGGTTAACCCGTTCGGATTAAGTGTCAGAAGGAGTGGTTCGTCATATATGTTCTCTATACCAGATACTGGGAAATGTACAAAAGTTGAAGACAATCGGACTTTTATTTCACGTTTTATAAGACTTCTAATTATTCCAAATTTTGACTATATTTGTGGATTTTCTTTCAAAAACATGACTCAAACTCTTCAGTATTTCAATTGCATGACAAAATTGATTAATATGTTTAATATTCGTCCTGCAATGTATGTTGCTTTAAATCACTAAATTTGTAAATATTTTGTTTATTTTCAAAACAATACATTATTTTCCGGTAGTATATCAAATACACCGTCACGTGATTTAGACGAGGAACCTCTTTCTTTCACCAATTTCAGTTTTCGTTCTGAATGGTATGCGTTATGTTTCTAAGAAGCATCGTTAGCTTTTTTAGCCTTTTCAGCGAATTATTATTTTCTTTTTAGTTCAGGCCTTTTTGTGTAGCGCCTGGAAGTATGCTATAAAATGTGAAAGATAAATAGGCCGTGTCACCTTACATTTGACTCTCAATTTTGTATAAACTTGATGTATGCTTATTAATTTATAGGATTTATTAATTAATTATTATTGCAATCATTTCAATATTTAAGATGTATAATCCGAGCATTACATTAGGTGGAAAAAGAATTTACGATAAACTTTAAACGAGAGCTTACTTTGTACCTTAATGAACAGAAATGATACGTGTAAAATATGAATATGTATGTCTATAAATATTATCCACAAGTATTTTAAACCACTACCAACGTAAATAGCTGTAATTGTTAAAAATATGAATTAAGTGTTAAGATTATCCAAAGAAAATAAATTAATATATCAAAATATTTGCATATTTATATTTTCTATAATATAATACAAAATAGTAATAAACAGACATATGGCGAAGATATACAAATGAATCTAAATGTGATGTGTAAGTTAAAAAATAATATATAAGTAACCAGTAAATTTACAAGTGCAATACACAAAATATCTACAGAAAAATAAAAATGAAGTTATTTATGTACAAACCAATGTTGTTTTATTACAAGGCGATACAGAATTAGAATAGTCTTACAGACAATCAATCACCCTCTTAGTGGATATTCCATTCCTGCGACTCTATTTATACTTATTCTTTGCTCCCGGGTATATAATAAAAAGAAGAAGAATAAAAAACAATACAGTATACACGTTCAGACCCCACGGTCCAAGGTCTG